TGTCACCTAGGCGACGCCTTAAAAACCATGGCCAACACAGGTATTAAAAAAAACTTCGAAAACCACTGCAAATCTGTAATGCCAAAAGGGGACATGGTCCAGTTTGTAAAACACCAAACTTTTGTAACTTGTATGCTCTAGAGTAGCTTTTCATTAGATCTTCTATAACTAGATTTCACACCTCAAATAGTTAGTATTTTAAGAAAGAAAAGCTGAAGATTGATCAAAAGTAAAGACTCCTAGACAAGAATAAGAACAGATACAGTTGATATGCACAAAATTGTTGTGCCCAAAATAGCAAAAAGGAGTCACAATCTGATGTCCTACTCCTATAACCATGGTATAGTGATTGTAATAGTCCAAAGAGATACAGAAATATGCACAGTTCAGTCAAACAAACAGAATTATCTACAATAGTACAGCCTCCTGCCAATGAGAGGAGGGATTGTGTGCAACAAGGATAAGAAAATTTACAGTCTCGTCAAGCAATTAGTCCTAACATCATACCTGTGACCCATGGTCTAACTTCAAATTTTGCTAATTCGCCTCGCATCTGTTCAATCTCTTGTGCCATAGAAAGCAGATTCTTCTCCATTGCCTTCCTTTGTTCCAGCAATTCCAAATTCCCCTTCTGCTCTAACCCGCAAGCAGTCCTGCAGAAGACAAATCAATGATCTTACAATACAAGCATATAAATATGAAAAATACTAACTGGTGCACCCAAAAATCAAATGGAGCAAACGAAACTGCAGAAGTACCTCACGTGAATAAATTCCTGCTGCAGACCATCAAGTTCTGTTTTCAGCATGGGTAGCTGCTGTTGAACGGATTGTTCCCTGTTCAGCTCCTCCATGAGAGATGCAGCCTCTGCAGATAGTTCTTTCCTAGCGGTAATGAGCCTGTCAATCTCACCACGGAGCTGCCTGACCTCATCACGCAAGTGCTCACTTGCTCCAAGTTCAGCTTCAAGCTTCCTCCTCTTGTCCACAAGCTTACTGATATAACTTTTTTTCTCAGTGCTAATGTCTGCAATGATCACATTCAAGTGGCGGACCTCATCTTTTCCAGCTTGTATTTCCCTGCTTAACACTTCACGCTCCTCAGCCAGAGCACGGTTATGCGCCAAAAGCCTCCGGAGTTCAACTTCCTGTAGCTCGAGCTCATCCTCTAAGACAGCTGGGTGAGGGTGAGGAGCTGCCCTCATGCGTGGGCCTTCATGGATCTCAGGATAGGCCCTACGGTCATCAATCCCACGACTGCCAGGATAGGCCCTATGATCGGCCATACGAACACCAGGGTAGACCCTACGTTCATCAAGCTGGCGGCCGTCATGATAGTCCCGGCGTTCCTGAACCACACGGATGTCAGAGTAGCCCCTACGATCCCCAACCACAAGGACTTCTGGATAACCTCTGCCTCTGGGATTGTCAGCTAGAGGGACTTCATGGTACACCCTGCGATCATCAATCAATCGCCTTGGCAGGCGACCTCTTTCCGACATGATGCTTGGTGCCTTGGCATGAAAAAAACATCAAAAGAAAAAAAAATAGAGTTAATGGATCCATCATTACAGGAACATGAAGCCGGCATATTGATCAAATGGTGTAACAGTGGTGGTTGATCTGACACTGCATAACACTGGTAAGGCGAAGTTCATATCCTTCCTATAGACCTAAAATAATACTCCGGTTAACACCAGGCACGCCTTGGGGCATGGCATGGGGCGGCGGACCGAGCAAAGGGACATGGGTGTACACATCTATACCCTATAGTTTTTCCAAAAAGTTCGAAGTTTGGAGGCATCAATCAAATAGCCAAATAGCTTTAGGTTAGGGTTTGAGTGATCGGCTTCGCACAGCAGGAAGGGAAGACAAGGGATGGGAATACCTAGTGGGTGCTCGTCGCCGGCGAAGATACTGACGAAGGCCTCAGCACCTGGCGTAGGTCGGCGCCGGCGCCGGCTGCCCACCAGTCGTCGGAGAGCGAGAGGGGAGCGAAACACCAGCCGTCGGAGAGCGAGATCCCGTGCGCGAGAGAGACAGAGAACCCTGAACGGATGGGGATGCGGCGGACGGCCGGCCCAGTGTTCGGCCCGGGGAGAGCGCACACGGGCCTTCTCCTGGGCCGTTCTTTCACACGTTTCTTTTTGAAATTTCATTTTTTGTTTCTTTCTCTTTCTCTCTTGTTTTATTTTGTATTCTTCGCGATTTCATATTTATCCTGCCTATGAATGGCTACTACAACATTATTTTAAATATAAAACAATAATAATATTTATTAGTGCGTTGTAAATAAGTAAATGAAACTTTTTTATACTTTATTAAGGTTAAACATTTTTTATTGAAGAAAGAACCGTTTTCACTAGAACATAAAACATTTTCATAAACCTAGAATATTTTTTCTTGTATGTTAGAATAGTCACACTTTGTCAACCTTAGATAAATTCAGCTAAACGATATGTCTATATTTTGGTAAAAAATATTATAAAAGACCAGTTCAAACCACCTCTTAGAACAACTCAAGAGGCCCCCTACTTTGGATCCTCAAAAGAGAGGAACGAATGATCTTCGATTGGGTAATCAATAATTTTGGTGGAGGACTTGGAAGGAAAGAAATCGACAAAGCTCTCAGAGGATGAAGCTACAACCACTTCAGATGGCCTTCCTAGTCGAGGAGGATATTGATTTCTACAAGCAGGCGGTTTGAGTCAAATTTTTTAGAGTGAAATACACTGAAGGCCCTTTAACTTATTGGCCTGTGTCATTCCGGTCCACGAACTTGCAAACGCGCGAAATAGGCATATGAACTTGTCAAGTTGTTCACCGTAGGTCCATTTCCCATCCGGCGCGGCCTCCAGGCGACGTGGCAGCGCTAGCGTGGCGGACGAAGCACGTGAGCCGCACGTTTCAATACAGAACGTGGCGGGGTGGCGCTGCGTCCACACTGTTTGGTGGACCGGGAGGCGCGAGACGCGGTGGCGCCCATGGCTGGCAACGGCGAGCTCGGCGGGGTGGCGCTGTGGAGCACTAGCGCCTGTGCGGGTTACATGGGGGTGGAGAGCGCGACGAGGCGAACTCGCCTAGGACATTCCCCGCGGCGGAGGACGTCCAGAGGCAGTGGTACGTGCGGCGAGGCCGTGGCGGCGCAGCTCCGGCGAGCCAGAGTGACGCTCAGAGAGGGAGAGGAAGAGCGTGGGAGCACTGGAGGGTGCCTTAGCACGCCCCGAAGCTCGTCGACAAGCTCGCGTCTGCTGGAAAGCGACAGAGGAGGAGATCGACGACGACGGCGCTGCTAGCTCGGGACGAGGAGGCGGCGCTTGTAGAGCGAGAGAGGGAGCACGGGGAGAAGCGGAGTGAGTGTGGAGTGCTCACGCGACACTCTAGGCACCATTTTAGAGGGAGAGAGAGACCGCGGGAGGAGAGGAAAGGCCGGTCAAGGAGCTCGGCTCCATGCCGACAATGGTGGATCTCTGACTCGGCGCTGCGGGACGAGCGGCTCGGGGAGAGGGGCTGCAGCGCGTAGAAAGGGTCCGCGCGGGGTGCTCGGTCGTGCAGGGGACGCGGGAGAAGGGCGCGGCCAGGCGTGGTCCAAGCGCTGCCGGCGACGGCGTTCATCCCGTGCGGAGCGGGAGGTAGGGGGCGACCCTGACGTGAGGAGCCTACATTAAAACGTGCAGCTCACGTGCTTCGTCCGCCACGCTGGCGCTGCCACGTCACCTGGAGGCCGCGCGGGATGGGAAATGGACCTGCGGTGAACAACTTGACAAGTTCAGGGGCTCATTTTCTGCGTTTGTAAGTTCGTGGACCGGACTGACACAGGCCGATAAGTTAAAGGGCCGCCAGTGTATTTCACTCAATTTTTTACAACCTAGGACGTTCCAGATGACCTTAGCGTTTGAGCCAAAATAATGAAATCCATTATCCATCCCACATGCCAGTTACGATAAAGGCAGGGTGGCATCTGTAGATCTGATAAAATAAACTTAAATGCTACTCAGTCTATCAGCGACGGATCCAGAACAAATATCCACCTATGAAGAACTTTGTACTAACTAATTTTTGTGATGGTGTAAATTGTAGTCATGCACAAAATAAGAGACAATAATGATGTGGTTCAATTATACACTCAAAGATTTTTTTTTCGTTACTGGAAAATGAAACTATCAATTAAAGAACATTGCGAATCAAAGCATCAATTATCAACTGATTGCCGGACTACAGGAGATTACACGAGAATCAAATTTAAATAGGATGGATCAATTTTACTTGTCTTTTCTTTTTTTTCACCTCCAATACAACATCTGTTGCCGTGCCCGTCCCTCATCGTGGACTCGTGACAGCGGACACTAGACACTAGCCTAATAGCGGCGGCACCGAGAGGAGAACTCTCATGGATAAGCACCGTCTACGCACTATCCCTTGGCATCAAGCATCGATGGGGAAGTAGCTTTTTTTTCCTCGGGGGCACACGTGCTCCCATCCCCTACAAGAGAGAGACGATGCATCCATTCCGATGCGAATCTAACAGCAATGAGGATGGGAGCATATGCTCTCAAGGGCATATCTAACTTTCCCTGCAGGGAAACTAAATCGACGAGAAACTGACCAAAGTACAAGCCCTAAACCTCTTTCCCTCCCCTCCTCGTCCCCATAACCCACGCCACCTTGGCAGTGGCCGGCAAGCACCAACTCCCACCTCTCTGCCACCACCCGCACATGCCCACCGCTATCGGTCCCTCGCTCCACCACCACACGTTTCGAGAGCCGTTGACATACGACGCTTTGTGAGGAGGATCGCGGAGGCTCCAGCCGACAGCCATCCACGCCGATTCAGAGCAGGATGAGTGATGACTGCGCGCCCGTCTACGCCCCCACCGGCGTTGGTGCAGACGCCGGTGTGTTGGGCCTTCCGGTCGCTATTTGACCTGTTGTCCCCCTCGCTCTTCGCCAGCTCAAGGTGTGTCCTCCCGTCTCTCCCTCCCTCCCGGCTCCGCTCCCGCCATGGAGTTCCCTGAGCTTTCCTTCTCCCCTAGACTAAAGCTTCAGGAGGAAATCAGGCGTAAGCTGGGTGTCCCGGTCACGTGCCCCTCGGTTGACCGTTCTTCCTTCTCCCTTATTGCTGCTTTTGGCCGTTGTAAGCTCCAGCTCTCGCCTGCCTCTGTTGGGGTTCTCCTCCAGGTTGCCATCGGTGGCTCTGCGGCCCACTTCAATGTCTCGCAGCTTGGTGAACGACGTTCAAGTTTCTTGTCTCTGTGAAACCTGTGGGATTGCTTGTGGTCAGCCTTTGTTCTTTTTAGCTGTGACTCCTTCAACGTCACCTTCTTTCTTTGGGGGCAATGGTGGCCCGAACTAGCGGCTAGCGAGTTTTTTTATTCCTGCAGTACAGGTACAGCCACAACGGCTCGGGAATTCCATGGCTCTATTGGATTGGATTGGACGAAAAAAATTCCCTTTCATCTAAGTGGAAGGATCCTGTATTTTTTTACTAGGAATTCCGCTCCCTGGAAACGTTTTTCTTTGGAGAAAACCAAAATAAAAAGAGAATGGAAAAATTCATCTTATTCCATAAGAAAATAAAGGAACCCTAAAATTCTATTTGCATAAGTGAAAGGTCCTAATATAGCTGGAGAAGGGTGAATAGCCAATTTAAAAACTCTACAAAGCACTAGAGCAATTGATTAGTATAACAAACGACGTAATGCAAATTTGTTCTAGCTCTATAAGGGTTGCAAACCACCTATCCCAATAATTCTAGTTGCTATGATCACAAGGCATACACATGAGCTAAGTCACTACTCACTAAGCTAGTGTGCTCTCAAAGACTAACTAAAGAGACATACTAACCAAACTAACAAGCTCTCAAAAGACTAACTACACTAAAGAACTTGGCAACTAGTTTGCAAGAAATGTAAAGGAGTGAGTAGATTGATTATACCGCCTTGTCGAGGAATAAGCCAAACACAATATGAAGTCAATCCAATCACCGGGAGAATTCCAATCACACAAGGGACATAAGATTTTTCTTCCGATGTTCACGTGCTTGTGCCGGCACGCTAGCCCCCATTGTCTCGACCAACACTTGGTGGTTCGGCGGCTAAGAGGTGTTGCACGAACCTCGTCCAACAAATGGACACTACAAGAACCTATCCACAAGTGAGGTAGCTCAATGACACGCGTAATCCAATAGAGTACCTTTTGGATCTTAGTTGGGAGAAGGTCAAGAACCCGCACAAGCAATCGATCGAGGTTGGAGACAGTTACCAACTCCGCTCAACGATTCTCCAATCACCGGGGCATCTAGGTGTCGGCAAACATCAAGAGTAACAAGCTCACAACGAGCCCAAATCACCCAACTAGTGCCATAAGATGATGCAACTCAATGCAATGCACTAGAGGCTCACCAATCTCACTCAAATAATGAAATCAAGTGTGCAAGTGAGTGGATTGTGTTTGCTCAGCTCCCGATGGGTGTGCACAAGTGTAAGAGGTGCCAAGAGAGTGGCCAAGGCCGGCCACACCCTCTATTTATAGCCACACAAGCAAATAGAGTCGTTGGCCCTTTGGAGCTACTGTCTGCGAGGTCACCGGACAGGGCGGTGCCTAGCACCGGACATGGTGGTGACATCTCCAATGGTTGAATTCCAACGGCTAGAAACTAGCCGCTGGTCACTGGACAAGGCATGGCGGTGGCACCACCCTAGGAGTGGCAGTGACCATCCCAGTCAAGTCCCCGAAAACGGAGTCTCTGGAAAAAAGTGGCGGTGCACCGGTGCACCCATGGTGGTGACCATGGCGGTGCCCCCCCTTTGCTATCGCTGCTCTCGGGTGGAACAGGGCAGTGCACCGCCGTCACCATGGCGGTGACCGGGGCACAGTGACCCCCTCGCCCCAACTCGAGTTAGCCACTCTCGGGAAAAAAAAGAGGCGGTGGCATCGGACACCCTACCACGGTGCACCGCTGTGCTAGTGGCGGTGTACACTGGTAGGGCGGTGCCCCAGCCCTAACACCCCTTCTCAGCCACGGTCAGGTGGGCACCGCCACAGGGGTGCCGCGGCACCGGACAGGGGGTGGCGGTGCCACCTAGGCGCCACCACTAGCTCTCCGAGTTGCAAATTTTTTCGCAATTCGATCCATGGCAACTCGAGCTCCTTTCTGCAAGCGATGCTAACTCTCAAAGTGTTTTCTCAAAACATGTTAGAGCCAAGTTAGCATTTCTCAAAAACATTTTCACTAAATATTTTCGCTTGCTCTCCGATGTGCACTAGGCCTAAATGCAATGCATGAAGTCCAACACCTAGTGGTACTAGATGACCGAATTGTCTAGTAGAGAACCTCTCTTAATAGTACGTCCATCTACCCTAAATATGATCACACTCTCTATATTGTCTTGATCACTGAAATAAAACCCCTATTTATACCTTTGCCTTGATCTCCATAGGGTTTTGTTTTTTTGTTTCTTCTTTTCCAAGTTGAGCACTTGATCATCATCACATGTGGCCATCTCATCATTTCATGTGATCATCACTATCTCTTGAGTGCCATCATGCTTCACACTTGGATTGCACCAACCTAGCTCATATCACAACTCATGACAAAGGTTAGTGTATAGGTTTCATCAATTATCCAAAACCAAACTAGGGCTTTCAATAAGGTACATTACACTATACAATCTAAATATAAAATGAGTATGGGGCAATTAATTACTTTGAAAAGCGAAATAACTGATGAGAGAAGTTGTTGTTGAGAAATAGGAAAGTGGAATGAAATCCAGTCTTAGTCAAATATTTCATCTCTATTCTTGTCCAAACAGATGGAAAATGAGACAATTTGCGCTGAGCGGAAAATCCATACCTCTCTTATCCATTTAGAGCATATGGATCGATTTATAAGAATCAAATGTTTTGTTTTTATGTTATTTTGTGATAGAATGAAAAGAACAATTTCGAGATTATGGAATAAAACCACATTATAACAATAAGAATTCCGCGGGCCCTTTTCGCTCTAATCAGATAAAGGGGAGTAAGGACCCGCTTAGTTCCTACTTTTTCATGTTTACAATCTGGATCCTCCGATTACTATAGAGATGAACCCAATCCAGAATACGAACCATAAAAGAACTCGAATACAAGCTCTTCTTGGAAGAAGGAGCTAACTCTTGGGCCACGGCTTCCTCCAAATCTGGCCGCAGTTCCTTCGTTGAGGTGGTTAAGTCTTCCCCGCTCTCCGGAGCCAGTGTGGTTCCTTTGGGCCCTCAATGTTCCTCCCATTGTTCTTCTCTGGCTCCGGTGAGGCATTCAGTCTTTTGAACGTCTTTTTTTCCCTCTTCTTGCCGTTCATTTGAAGGCTGCAGACAGGGCTCTGACAAAGGCTTGTAGTCGTTGCCTCTTGTCGCGGGGTCGAAACCGTGGCAAACATTATTATTCGTCGAGTGTCAATGAGTGTGTGTCTCCGGTGGCTCGGGTGGACTCAAGAACACAGAGAAGACACGGCGATCTATTCTGGTTCGGGCTATCGGGGCCCTACGTCTAGCAGTAGAAGTTCTTTGTATTCGAGAGCATCCAAATAGGGGGTCACAGCAAGAGTCTATTTTTGTGTTTTGCCATTTCACACCTACTTTTTGTCTGTGTTTTTTGCTTCCTTCTGTTTTCCATTACTTTTTTTTCAAGCAGGCTTGTAGCCTTTTTTTTTTGTTTGTTTGTTTGACCACACCCGTCCAAACTCCAAATCTCTACTATACGTGTGGACGCGTGGTGTTGCCGACTCCAGTGCGCGTGCCCTGGCGTCCCTGCGCCTGCGCGTCGCGATTTTGCAAGTTGCCTGCTGCTGCGGTGCTGCCTCTCCTCGCTCGCAGCTTTCGCACTATAAATACAGCTGCCGGCATCGGCAGCCAGCACCACCACCACCCTCTCCCAAAGGCCACCAAATTATGGCATTCTTAAGCCATCGATCACCGGCCAACCAGCACTCACTCACTTACTAGCTCCATCCAACTCGTACACAGCCTCTCCCTCCCTCTCTGACTCTCTCCACCCATCCTCTCGCCCTTCGACAGCAAGCGCAGCAGCAGTAGCATTTATCAGTTCATCAACCGGGCACGGCGACAGGGATGAGGCGCTGCGGCAGCATCTCCTCGCCGCTCGCGGCTGCTGCCCTGCTCCTCCTCCTCCTCCTCGTCGGAGGCTGCTTCCACTGCGCGGCCGCGGCTCGCCTCCTGCCGCCTTCTTCTGTCCCAGCTCTGGTTCGCCAAGGTACGCCTTCACTCAGCTCGCACGTAGCTGAACCTCTTTGCTGACGATCCTAATTCCTACCTTAGCTGCTCTAACGTCTCTGAAATCTGAACTTTTCGTTTGCAGAGAATGGTGTCAAAGCTGCTGGTGGTGCAGACGGCGGCCTGGTGGTGCTGCAGGAAGGTGGCGTCGGCAATGGTGAAGAGCTCTCCATGTCCGAGGTGAGGAGAAAAGCTACTGAATTCGTTGAGAACTTGTAGTCTGAGCCATGCGTTGTATATAAAGCTCATCTTCCATTCCATGCATGTCCTGCTTCTGCTTCTGCAGATGATGGGAGCAGAGTCGGAGGAGGGTGCAGTGGCGTGCGAGGAGGGCAACGACGAGGATTGCATGCAGAGGCGGCTGCTCCACGAGGCGCACCTCGACTACATCTACACGCAGCACAAGGGCAAGCCATGATGATGAGGAGGAAGCTAGAGGACGCAGAGGAACTAGTCGGAGCTCCGGCCAGATCCTCTCCCCATCTTGGTTGGTGTTGGGACTGCTAGCTTATTGGGAGTATTGGGACAAAGTACATGCTGCAAATTAAGTTGACACACGGGAATCTCATCTCATCTCATCTACTAGTACATGCATCGATAATTCACCTTCTGCATGCATGCTATATATCTAGCTTGTAATTTCTGTCATGGTGCTTAGCATCATCCGTGATCCATATCATCTAGGACTAGTATATGCGTGTGTCAGTCAGTCACCTCGTCTGTACATCTCCTCCTATACATGTATGGTATTGGTAACCACTGATAGATCAGTGGGTTAATCTTAACTGAGGCAAAGAACCTGTTGTGTACCTCGCCAAGCAGTGTCGAGGTAGAGGTATCTTGACGCACCCGCTAGGTCGCCGAAGGTAGCAACAGTGTAGACGCGGACCAGTGGCGACGGCGAAAGGCGGTGTTTGCTTCCCGTTGCTCACAGCACGCCCTCTAGATCGGCTTAGGGATAGAAAAACCGGTGGGGCGCTGGCGGCTGTGGTCAACCTCGTAACTCGAGCCCCAGCCCCCACCTCCTATTAATAGCGCTGCGCGATGGGGGCCCATCAGCCAGGAGACCAGCTGGACGCACCCGATCAAGGCGCGGATGAAGGGCCCAATTGGCCGTTGGGCCAACTTGGTGGAGATCAACTTAACATTCTCCCCATTGATCTCATCTTATGACTTAAACTTAACTTACTTTATCTTTTTTCCATTCCATCACAGATCAGTGCATAGAGCGTGACTCATCATCACGGTCAGTTGCCATTAGATTAAATAGCTATAATGTACCTCTCTGTTTTGAAACAGATTCTCAACTAGGCCCTTAGTATCCAGAAATCATAGGCTTTCCCGTAAACCCATGGCGACTGTGTGTTCTCTGAACGCACTGGGTGGTTAGCCTTTGATAAGCGCATCTGCAAGTACTTGCTTGGTACTTATATGCTCAATGCTTTCAAAATAATTCTGAATTTTCTCCTTTATAACATATAACTTAATGTCAATGTGTTTGGCAGCACACTTGACCTGTTGTCTTAGGAGTTAACTACTTTAAATGGTTATTGTTGTTGACTACCATTGTTAAATCTGGGTACATATTCCATTAACCACTTTTGCCTATTCCTGAGGCCTCATGACAAGCTATACTATGGTATGCATTATTGATGACACCATAACTGTTTTATTGGAGCTTTTCCACAATAATACTCCAACTGCGAGTGTTAGCAACTACTGTGGATTTCACTACATATCTCGCAAAAACTTAACATTTGTACCCACAACTATTTGAGAGTACTTGTTCTTTCTTACTCAACATGAGGCCTATGATACTTTTCAAAAATTACAAGACATTCTTAACTCCATTCCAGTGATCTATATATGGACTGGATTTCTACCAAAATATTCCGGATACGTAAGCTACGTCAGGGTAAGTTCTTACTTGTATATTCATTAAGCTTCCAACAGCTGAAGCATATATAACCACGTTCATTTGATTGATCTCATATCGGTTCCTGAAACACTAAAAGTTCCCAAATCTATTACCCTTGACTATAGAATCAGGCGTAGGTTTACTCGTATGTATACTTTATTTCTTGAGAATCTTTTCTAAGTATGCATTTGCGATAGTCCTAATACCCCTTTTCATCTATCTCGGTGAATTTCAATTCCTAGAAAAAATGAGGCTTCACCAAGATCATTCACATTAAAACTTGAGGACAAACACTTCTTCTCCAATGGCAGATTAACATCTCTACTATAATGGACCAATCAAAATTATACTAGGTCCCCCCAGGAAAAAGTCCCCCACTAAGAGCCTCCAACCATTGTGCACCCAGAAAAATACATACAGTAATTCATCTGCCTTAAAATCAAGGGCTAATAAGACACTTAAACTAAATCCGATGACCACGATTAGATGTGGGATGCCAGGCTTCTCACCCCACGCCCTCCTCGCACACCGCGAACCGTCGCGACTGCGATTTAACGCTCGAAGTCAATCATCACCGAATAAAAAAAACGCGTTCAAAACCTTCCGGGCCGCCGCAGCGCCATTCGACGTTGAAACATTCCGATCGCCCGCGCGCACGCCCACACCCTTCGTGGAGAGGAGGAGGAAGCCACGGTGCCCGTACACGCCCACGCCCTTCGTGGAGGGGAGGAGGAAGCCGCAGTGCCCGTATGTTGTGGCGCGGCGCCGCTGATCGCCCGTGCCCACACCCTTTGCGGAGGAGAGGAGGAAGCCATGGTGCCTGATGAGCTGGGTCTGAACGACGGCGAGATCCATGTGACCATCGCCGACATTGCCCAGGTACTTAATTATAAGTGCAAATCTCTTAGATATGCCATGAATCTTAGTCACTGCAATTTGCAATAGCATCTTGCTACTCAGAGCGCCGACCTCGCATCGTCGCACAACGTGCAACCTTCATCTGCCTAAACGACGGCACGCTTTTATTGCTATATTGCCTCAGTTTGCCGGACGTGGTGAGGAAACCCTGCAGCCCGTCGCTACTGCCGGCCGGCTGGCTATAACCCCGGCGCCACGACGAACACACAGCAGGCCACTAAACTCGGGCGGCCCGGCTACATCTACGGACTAGCCGGTAGAAGATCTGGCCGGCCACATCTCATTGTCATCGTAGGTACTTCACAATGTCTACTATCAGTATCATACGGACTTTGAAGTCTGATCATGAACGATTTCCAATGTGACAAATACTCTGCATTTGTTCTAAAAACTCTGGGGGTGAAAAGTTGCAAAAAATTAGCAGCGAACCAAAGGAGCTTGATGGCTTGACCCTGGCAGCCTGGCCTGCAGTTAACACACTATGTTACTACTAAAAAAACTAGAAAACATGTGCTATGTCGGTTTTAGTTTCAGTTTTAGTCATGTGCTAGAATATGATAATATGAAGAAAAAAATGCATTGAGTTCAAATAAAGTATCTTCGTAAATATGGAGCCTTTTTCTTTCTCAAGTTTTTTCATATCAGAAATCACTTCTTTTTTCCACCATCTAATGGATTAGATGTCGACAATATTTTTTCATTCTAGATCAATATGTACCGGTGCCAGTGTGCAACACTGCAACTTGATTGATATAAAAAATACTAAATAATATTCATGTGTTGCAAATGTCAGAATTCCTTTTATTTATGAACTGAGGTACTATAGAATTATATATGCAACTCAATTTACCGAAACCAAAAGTTCAGTATTCAGATGGGACAAAAGTAACTATCCCATGATCAATAATCCTAGTTTGTTCTAATTATTCTGAATTTCATTGCATGACTATGACGAATGCTTGAGCTACATATCAGTACTCACTTTTGGGGTCTATCTATATAGAAGAAAAATAAGTAGAAGGAAAGAGGAAAACGATATATCTCCCTTGCATGTTTTTAAAATACTACTACGTGGTCCTCCTTGACTTTCATGCTTTGAAGTTCCAGTCGTGTGCTCTGTCTGGTACTCTGGTTATAGATTCAGTTACTAGCACAGCTTATAGCTAACACAGATAGCATATGTTTCTGGCTTAATTTTGATGCAAGGTATGCCAATTTACGAGTCTGTTAAATTTGTATTTGACACATAATGTCAAATTAGTTCTATGCCAAACCAAATATTCACTTAAATCTGTACTCAATTATTTTATCTTGGAGGAAACCCTGCTGCCCACCGCTACTACCGGCTACAGATCCTCGCTGGTACTTCACAATGTCTATGCCCGGAGATACACGCGATGCGCTAAGCGATATCACCAATATCGTAGGTATGCTTTCAGTATAAACAACACTTTCGTCTAAATTATGACATCTGAACTTTTGGATGTTTACATAGACACCTTTCATTCAGCGCGTTGCACGAAGATGTATCATTTTACTTTGCCAAACTCAAAGCACTCGAGTATTTGTAACTACATTTTTTCAGTCACGTTAATTCTGCAGTGAATTTTAGTCAGTGAAGATAAATTTGTGTTTCTGAATTCTGATATATTTTCAGGGATTTATCACACAACAAGTTGGAGGGCTCAATTCCTGATGTCCTTTCACAGCTGCCATCTCTCATGGTTATGTGAATTTTCTGATCCCTGATGACTTTCATATCTTAGAGTTTAGCTATAAATAATTTCTAATACTAATCTAATCATTATACACTACTGAAAAACAATTTTTACACTGGTCCATAATTTTTAGGACTACACTACTTGATTTATGGTGGAGGCGGGTGCCTGCTGGTTGCTCGGCCTACAGCACCAGGATCGTCGCTACCATTGCTTGCTCTTTGCGAGTTTTACTGATGGGTACGATTTATGAATGATAGGTGTCAGGAGCTGTTACGAGGAGGAAATTAATAATTTAGCTTATTATCTACCATGTACAGCTATCAACTTCACTAAGGATGGAATTCTTAGCGAACATTTTGAAGAGCCGTGCAAACGAATGTTTTGACAGCTTCCCTAAAGATCTCCAAGTCATGATTAAGGACTTAGTCAGAATGTAACTTAGATGGTTAATACGAGAAATAACTTTACTATGCCTTCTTATGTAAAAGTGTTTGTCGGATTGTAAACATGCTCAAATACAATTGTGTAAAAGTTGAACTATGAAAAAAATATTGGTTGTTTTCATGTGCATCTCCAAGATAAAGTTGTGGCATTAGCACGGGCATTATACTAGTTACTACTAGTGAGTAGGATGTCATCTATACACAAGATGTGAAAAAAATTTTCCATTCTTGAACTTTGCATAAACATTATTGTCCTTCTCATTTTCTTTAAACCCAAACTTTCTTATCGTTTCATCAACTTCAAATACTACTGTCTAGAAACTTGTTTTAAGCCATAAATGGATTTCTACAGGCGGCATCCCATATGTTATGTTTCTTTCATGATAAAACCTTTGGGTTGTGCCATGTAAATGTTTTC